TAGAAGCTTTGTGAGTGATCATCATAGATTTATTACCTGGAAGTTCATGAGAATTGCCATATCCATAGCAAATTGATCCATATCATCAAAACTGTTCGGAAGTTTGATACACGCAAATTCATTATCAAGATATATCGATGGAAGTGGTCGTACCATGTATCGTATGCGAATTTCTCCATCTTCAAAAAAAATTATGTAAAAAATATATAACCAAGAGCTTTTTACATGTTGTGATACTCACTCACGCATTGAATTGTGTACACATGCGCCTTATCACACGGAACAGTATCGAGTAGTTTGTTTAAGATTCGCATGGCATTACGGCCAAGCTTTACCTTATCATCAACATCTTTGGTATCGGGGGATTTTATACCTCTCGAGAATTCGGCAATTCCTATTATCCGATGGTTTTCTTTTTTTATCTTGAGAACTTTCAAAACACCGTCTATCTTCCGGTTCTTTGTAACTGTAGTGAGTATTTCCATCCTAAATCGAATAAAAAAAATTAAAATGTAATATACTATTGGAAATTCATAATCGACACCTACCAATTCCAATCCAGCACATCTTGGTGCATTCTGAAGAGTCTGTTCATGATATATATGGTTGTATCAATTGAATATGTTCTTTCAAGGCTTGATGCATTTGACTCGGGGTTTATTGGAGCTTCCAAACGTTCAGAACTATTCATAATTGAATCATTAACTTCACATAAGCAATAACCTAAACAAGAATGTGTATGTATATACTATATACAAATGTGTCATTATGCGTTGCGCAATATCATGTCCTTCATGAAGGAAGGGATCAAACCGACCCACAATATAAGACTTTCGCACGAGAGTGGGGATTTGGACTCGATCGCATTTATCTTCTGTGAACTGACTACAATAATCCTTGAACACAGTGGTTTGATCCCAAGCTTGCTTTTCTAGTTTTCGATCAAGCCATGATTTTTGTTCTTTATTCAACTTAGATCGTACACTTTGCTTCACACCAGCATCTGTCATATCTATTATTCCGTTCAAAAAAATCGAATTCATAACCGTCTTGCCTGATTCAAGATCTTTGGATCGGCATTGATAGAGTATTTCAAGCAAAGTATTCCGAATTGACACATTTTCGGAGTTCAGATTCCTCATTTCCTGGAAGATTGGATAGCAATGAATGCATTTGTTATACGCGAAATGGAAGAAAGGACAATTTACCTCATGCTCAGTAAAATCGTACCCCTTAACTTCCTGGAAGATCGGATAGCAGTAAATAAAATAGTTATACACAATTGAAGTAAAACTACATTACCTCTTTATCAATGAAATAGTAATTATCTTCTAAAACCGATTCCTCGGCATCATCTAAAACTGATTCCTCGACATCGACTAATACTGTTTGAGGTTTAATTTGTGATTGTTGTCGTGCCCATAATTCCTGTATGGTATTAATTTGATTCAATAATGTGGCTGTTGCATGTTGCTATACGCACATCAAAAAGATTATCAAGTCAACTTAAAAAAACTTCATGATAATTAACATAACAATAAATACCTCAACTCTTAAAGGAAAGAAAGACGGACGTATCTGATCTTCAGGAGTTCGTTGGCGCTCCGATCTCGTACGTTTTATTTGATTTGGCTCGACAAAATCATCCTAAAATATTTATATTTATATTATAGTTCTTACTGATTCTCAACTTCTAACTAAAAAAATGCGCATATATACCTCTTCATATTCTCTTTTTGATCCAACAATGAATGATCCACCAGTTATAGTCCCGTTGACAGTCCCGTGTATAGAACCATGTACAGACCCATAGTCCAAAAAAGTCGGCTGATGGAAATGAACTTGTTTATGTGCATGTTCGGACTCCCATTTCCGTGCCAATGTGCGATCGGGTCGAGAACCCTAGCAATGAAAAACCGGAAAATTAGTAATATCCCCAATCAACACATCTCCATTGTTTATCCGAATTTCTTATCCCACCCAAGACTTCAGATAAGCTTAGAGGTTATTTGTGCTTAAGTGGGACCAGTGCTAGGTCGGCATAGAGACTTGAACATCAGATAAGCTTTGAGGTTATCCGTGCCCTAGCACTGGCTTCATGGCTCGACTTGGAGACTTGAATGACAAAGAGCTTAGAGGTCCCTGTCACGCCACAATTCCTTATCTATATTCTTAATCAAAAGATTCTTAAACTTGCCTCTTTATACTGTTTGTATAACTGTTGTGCTTTTTCGCGCCTTCTGCCATTTTCAGTTTTAATGATGGTTTCGAGAGAAGTGAGATAAATACCAATATTATCACGGAATGATTTAATGTTGCATTCTTCCAAGAACCCTATAATAGTCCATTCAGTGTATTTGCGATTGAAATATTCGTGCACTATATTTTTTGACATTGAGCTAAAAGAAATACGTGTAGGTAATTTGTAAAAAAATATTCAACCTCACGAACTTGGGAATATATTATTCTTTTCTATAATTATCAGTAAGTTCTTCCGTCTTGTTTCATTGTTTTACGGGGTATGTTGCAAAACTTCCATAAGAAGTATAAGCAGGTGCTTGTTCCTCGTCCCACAATAAATTATGCATAATTATAAGCCTTCTAAGGTAATACTTCATATGCGGAATTATTCTACGTAACACATGTTAAATGAATATCTTTGTATATTCCATCCACTACCATTTTGCATGTTTTACAATACAGATGTGAATGGTGATTGCATTCGTCACAAACCTTACACCCGTGCTTCCATCCTCTAAAGATATGCCACTTTTCGATGTAATTTCGATTTTTTTTATTTGTTAATACGTTACTCTTATATTAGCCGAAAAAAATATATACGTGTTCTAAATTTTTTATCATTCAAACCTGCAATTAGTTGATACTCAATATTGCTACCGTTATGTAATATCAATAATGTAGTACATA